TTGCCAGCTCCGGCTCGAAGGACCAACTTGTGACGGGGTACTATACCTCTGTCAACGGAGTAAATTTACAGTTCTACTGGCGGACAAATATGGACATTGATTCCGATCAGAGAATCAGGCAACAAAGAAGTAATCCTCTTCAAACTTCTTTAATAACAATTATTAAGCAGTCAGTGCCATCAAACTGTCCAAGTATGTTGTGGTCTGTAGAACAGATGAGGAATACAGTAGAAATATAAGGTATCTTTACACATTCACTTCAATGAGAAATCACACCATATATACAATGATTAAACAGTGATAATAAAGGAACAAATATATACGTTATAACAAACAAACTAATCAGTTAAATGGCAGTAAAAGGCAATAGGCGGAATGACGGAGCATATACTGCACACTGTATTCTCTCGCGGCTAGCGCGAGCGATATTTTCCCGCGATCGCGGCGCGATCGTCGTCATATATAACAAACAGTCTCTTATATGAAAGGAGTAAATGTTCACTCAGTGATTGTCACATTATTACTCACATTTGGTGCATGAACGCACAACATGTCGGAAGAAAAGGAGCGCATTGTGATCTGGCCCGGCATCTGAGTATGGGAAGTTGCACCGCTAATAACAGTCAGTGTGAATTTCGCTAAATATTTTCGGTTCCTAGTGGGCTTTCTGACAATATATGTTGTATTATTGAACATTAGCACATGTCCAGCAGTATTAAAAGAAAAACAATATATTCATAACTCAGGTTTGGGATTCCTAATTGTCATAATACATACTCAGGGACAGCGGGAGAATAATATATGTTCATTAAAGATGTTTATTAAAGCAACAAATGAAACTTGTTATAGTACTTACACATTTGTTGGTTTGATTTCTTCCATTGTCCTCACTTGTAAGGGGCTTTGGATGACGGCATCAGCTAATAGATAATACAATATAATGTAATCATGAAGACACCAACACGAAAAGAGAAGAGCTCAGTTCCTGACATTAGGAAGAACACAGGCAGACAGCAGCACAAACGCTTTAAAAAGCATACACTTCATCACTAGGTGAACAAAGTTAGTGCAAACAATAAGTAAGGGTGTACTTTTTTATACATATTGAAGAAAGATGACGTTTTTTAAGCAACCATACACTTAGAGACAGTCGAGAAACCAATCAAGAAAAAAATACAAACTGACTACAAAATGACACACCAGACAGAAAGTGAACTAAGAGTTCACATACAAGACAAGGACCATGAACATATATAACTAAAAATAAATAAATAATAAATGTGTGTAATCTGCCATTTTTGCAATATTTCTAAATGCTGCAGAGCGTCTGTACTTCTGCATGTGAGTTTAACACTTCTACATTACGCTGATTTGTGGAGATGATGAAGGGTTTATATGTGTATAAGCGTGTTTATAAGCGTGATTTATAGCACTGTCTGCTCCTGAAGCTCAAAGCCTCAAACCAAACACGGTCAAAACACGGTCATTTCAACAATATAATGGGTTATTTTCATCTCTTGAAAGTGTTTGTGCTCTTCTATATCGGGTTGACTCGATAATTTCACATCATTCAGCACAAAATCAACTTTAAACAGGCACGAAATCGAAAGTGAAAGCAGAGCTTCCGTCAACAGGAAGAATGCGGATGTATACATTTCAGCAGCGGCGGGTAAGATAGACGCTTCTGGCGGGAAACACTTTTCAAATTGTAGCTTTCTTAAAAGCAGGGTTTGACGATAAAGATAGCCCAGTTTGTATATGTGATCTTAGAATCGAGAAGCAGCAGCAGCAGGACTGATGAAAACAACTGTCTTCACGCGAGCAAAAGAAAGATCACTCGCGCGCACAGGTCATGTGATGGGAGCGGCTGTTTACAAAGCGTGCGCGCTCCCGTTTTCTTCCGCGAAGCGACCGTGCCTGGAAACTCACCTGGCGCGATCTGCTCTCTTTAAACTCGACTGGACAAAAGGTGATGCTTGTGAATCTGCAGACCTGCTGCTTTCAAGAGCTCCAGATTTCAAATAAATGTATTTTTGTAAGCAGCAGCGGCGCCGGTTACCGCTTTCTCTTTTATTTCCCCATTCTTTAAACAGATTATTAACAGGTCTAATGTTAACGTGATCCTGTTATCACACGGTATGCTTTTCACCAGCTTTCCTTTGCTGATTGCTATTTTTGTTAATATGGTTTAATTGTGTGTATATATATATATATATATATATATATATATATATATATATATATATATATATATAT